GTTTATAATTGTTCTTTTGAGTTACGTGTCCTGCATTATCTCTAGGAGGTTCTCATTGTACTCCTCTAGAGGACTATTGTTATTTGGTGGAGATATGTTATTTTGGTTTTTCATGTTATTTTTTTCTCTTTGATTTTGACATATGAATTTCTTTTGTAGTTTCTGATTCTACTGTGAGACTCAAGGCTTCAAGTTTAGGTCTGCTTATTTTGTGAACTTTATGTGTCTATGTGCTTTACTTTTAGGGTATGAAAGGCTGTTTCCTCTAAGCTTCCATTTCTCTCTTTTGATTTTGTATTGGAGTGGCCAGATTCCTTTTATCTTCAGGAGTTCCCACAGAGGCCCAAGTCAGATGAGGATCAGATGCTCTCAGGCTTTTTCCTAAGATCTGGATCCTTCCAGGATAGATTTTGGCCTCAGGAATTTGGGCATTAGACTGGCCTAGAAGCCAGGCAGGAAAGATCCTGGTCTAGGGCGGCTGGTGGCAGGGCCACCCAGAGATGCAAAGGAAGATGGGGGCAGGAGGAGGCCCCAAGAGCCGCTGGGTACTGCACTGAGGAGCTGGATTGGTCTGGATGCAAAGGACTAGGAAGAGGAAAGGTCACCCCCAGCATCGAGGAAAGAGGCTGGAGGGTTGTGCAGACGCAGGGAGGTAGAGGGAGGTGAGGGTGGGCCCAGGCCCAGAGTGCCCCTGGGGACCAGAGAAGGAACTGAATTGCTCTGGATGCAAAGGATCAGGAAGACGCAGTGGTGGTTCCCCAGATGTTTGGGGCACCAAGACAAGGAATGGGCAGGACCCAGGCTAGGAGCAGAGACCAGTGGGGAAGATGGGAGGGTGAATGAGGCTGGGGGAGTCAAGACGCGGAAAGCCCAATCGCCATACCCTGGAAAGAGAAGCCAGCAGGTAGTAGAGAGGCCAGCTGGTCCTACAGTCCCAGGGAAGCAGAGGGAGGTGAGGGTGGGGCCAGGCCCAGAAGCAGGGCTCCTGGGGACCTGTGAAGGAACTGAATTGCTCGGAATGCAAAGGATCTGGAAGAGGCAATGGTGGTTCCCCAGGTGTCTGGGGCACCAAGACCTTGCTCATAAATTTTTATCCTCAATTTTTTTTTGTGTATATGAGCGTACTTACATGGACATGAACGTTTCATTGTGGTTTATTCATTTATGTAATAAATAACCCTATGCTGTTTCTTTCTTTAAGAAAGACTTAGAGTAGTTCTGGTTGTTGGTAATACAGCTTCACCAGGCTTCATATTATCTCTTAATCTTTATTAAAGGAAAAGATCTGCTTCTCTCACTTGAACATAAAATTAAACTACATAGCAACCCCAATTATTTTCATTCAGTATGAAATGCATTTCTAAACTGCCATGAAGAATTTATAATTTGCATACATATCTGCTGTTTCATATTTTAAAATTTTAGTTTACAAAATAATAGGTTTTATTAGTACATTTTCATACATATATCCATATATGTCTTACATCCATTCCTCATTCTCTTCTTTGTCTCCCCTCTCTCCTTTCCCTGGAGCCCCTCTTCTCTCCTCCCCGAAATCTGTCCTGCCTATGCTCCATTTGTCCAGTTTTGTTGATCCATGAGTATTTAGTAAAGGAATCCTTTTGTTATCACAAAAGTTTCATCATTCTTTTTCAATTTCTTCTAGTTTCACTGTGAGATGTTGAGAGTTTATGTTTTTCTGTTTGAAACTGGGTGCTTTAGCTAAAATGCACTTTGGTTTCATGTATACATACACACACACACAGATACACTCACACACACACACACTGCTACTCTCACTTCTGGAGTTCATTTTGAAATACGTGGCACTTTATTGCAACATTCTCAGGACTTCCACAGTCTAACTGCAAGTTCACGCTTGACCTCCTGCCACATAAGCCCTTAAACAGCAAGGTCTTCTTTAAAGTACCCACATTTAGGAGGTTTCTTTATCAGAGGAAATTTATCTGGTTCTTTCTGGCATGCTAGAATCACTGCTCTTCCAGCAATGAGATCTGACTCAAGTCTCAGGAGGAATGCACTCACCTATCCCATGGAGTCCTGTTCCTCTTCTAACATTCAACTTGCCTTGGAGCACTTGGCAGTGACAAGTTCACTGTTCCTTTTCTGAGGATCTTCTTAAAGTCAGAGGGTTCTGCTTCCACCAGATTCCTTGCTCCATGAGAGCCATGTTGGGTTTTGCTTTTTTTTTTTTTTTTTCTCTTTGCATTTAAAAGCTCTCAGGAAATGACACTGTAGAGACAGAAAGCAGTGAGGAATTATGGAAACTTCAGGCTCAAGGCAGTAATTTTTCTTCAGCTTCGGAACCTTCATAACGTCATAATGGACAAGTTTTCTCTCCTTTGCTATAGAAATCTACTATGTTACCTCCCCAGGCGAAATTGCATGTGCCACCCATGATTCAAACTGGTTCTTCTATCTGTACCTTTTTTATCTGTTAGGTATCCTATTTGAAATTTCTCCATATCCTACTTAGAACTAGAAAATGTGTAAGTAATGACATGATCATTCATGGTTAAGTCTCTTCTAGAACATGTCTGTAGAATAATTATGTTTTAAATGATGCCACATGTAGCAATCAGGGAAGAAAGTTCTTTTGCTCACAGTTGAACTAAGGAAATAACCCTCAAGGCATTTATTTAGCCACTATTTTCTGAGTCCCTGATAAGTACCAGTGACTGCTTGTTAGACTACTACAGGGAAAGATAATCAAAGGCCCTACAGTCATTGAGACTAGTTTCAGTCTACATGGCAAATATTATTTCAATAATCTCAATGCTACCCAACATGTAATTTAAAATTATATGCATCCTTTGACTAAAGAAATAAGATTCTTTGGGAATATTTAACATAATAACTTGATTTATAATTATAGTAGGAATTTATAGAGTTGTGGGCATTAATTTGATGAAGAGACAGAAGGGGTCAGAGCATTTCAAGAAGAAATATTAATTTGTATAAACTTGCTGTGGCAAGAAGCACATCAGTATTTATGAGGGTCTAAAAGAAGACCAGAGGGACTTGATAATGGAAATAAAAATAATTTTTTTAGGTCGAGAATGTGGTGGTTTTTTAAACTTGAGAGTAAGGTTTTAACCTAGAAGCTTTTACTGAGACCCAACATTGCCATTACAATGTTCCTGCTCATGAACTGTACAATGGAGTTGCAAAAGCAAATCACAAAAACGTGAATATTTACTGTAAGCTTATGATTTTGTGTTGGGCTGCATTTAGCTGACCTCAACATGTTAACAAGGGACAATCATCTTTTCAGAAACACAGGCATTATTCAAAGTTTTCAGATTCTGTCTTTTTTTATTTTTCATCTTGGAAGTAATGTTCTGTAATTTTCTATATGCTAAGCTGAAGAGAAACTTCACCATGTTATTTTTAAAAATTGGCTGCATTTTGCATTAGAATTCTACCTTTGGTAGTGCTAGTATAGCCAGAAAGAATGTACTTATAGACAGCGGATGATAATAGCTATTCTCTAAGACTATTGCTTAAAGACTTTAAACAGCAATGGTGTACCTAGTTCAGTGTCAGTTGGGGCTTTTGTAGCAGATCAAAGCTACCTGGAAAAGAATTGTTTCTTGTATGTTTTACTTTCAGTTGCTCTTCAACACAATTACCTTGTCCTTTCCACCAGGTGGTTGACCAGATTGACACCCTGACCTCTGACCTACAGCTGGAGGATGAGATGACTGACAGCTCCAAAACAGACACTCTGAACAGTAGCTCCAGTGGCACCACAGCCTCCAGCATAGAGAAGATCAAAGTGCAGGCCAATGCCCAACTCATTAAGCCTCCAGCACACCCATCTGCTATCCTCACAGTCTTGAGAAAGCCAAACCCTCCACCACCTCCTCCACGGTTGACACCTGTGAGGTGTGAGGAGCCTCAGAGGGTGGTGACTAGCAATCCTGTCAAGACCAATGGCACCCTTCTACGGAATGGAAGCTTACCAGGTGGACCTAACAAAATTCCAAATGGAGACATCTGTTGCATACCCACTAGTAACTTGGACAAGCTTCCAGTGCAGCCTCTGATACACAGACCCGAAAAAGAGAGGTGTCCCCAGGCAGGGCCCCGGGAACGTGTACGGTTCAGTGAAAAAGTGCAGTACCATGGCTATTGCCCTGACTGTGATAGCCGGTATAACATGAAAAGTAGGGAGGTCCATTTACACAGTGAATCTGTCCACCCACCGGGAAAGAGTCCCCATCAAGGCCCTCCCCTCCCTCCTCCACCTCATCTCTCTCCTTTCCCACTAGAAAATGGGGGACTGGGAATAAGCCACAGTAACAGCTTTCCCCCTCTCAGACCTGCAACTGTGCCTCCTCCCACTGCACCAAAACCACAGAAGACGATCTTGAGGAAATCAACCACTACCACAGTGTGATGTATGCCATTAAGAACAACTTTCTGGTTTTTTCTATATTATAAACATAAATCAATAAGTAATGAGCACTTTCTACTCAAGCAATAAAAAGCCCAAATATATTAATCCTGCATTCAACAATGTGGCATAAATATCACCTGGTAAGTATGCAGTGCATTGCTTATGTCCTGGATATACATTATTTTAAATGTTTCATCATCAAAAACTGCAGAATAGTGAGAAAATCTGAATGCAATGTTTTGGGAGTTGACCTGTGACAAACTGTGATCTTCAGATTTCAAGTATTTTGATTTGTTATAAGAGATGGAATTTCAGATCTTTTGATTTGTTGCTAAAGCCAGGGTGATTCATTTTATTCATGCCTAACTCATCTATGCATTGATGACATGTCATAATCTTCCCTTTGATTGGATGCTTTTTAATAAGAAATTTTAATACTGAAAGACTATTTTATTATTTTTTCTAAAGATGTTTGTCAATAGTTTTGCATTATTAAATGCTGAGGATGATGCCAAAAAGTTTATTTTCTATAATATACACTGATAAATCTTATGTTAACTCTATGTGTAATAAAATATTTTGAGCTTTGGAAATATCATGTCAATAAAAAATAGCAAATAATGAGAAAACCAAATGTTGCTGAGAATTAAAATGAAGTAGAGGTTCATTTAATCCCATGTTAACATCCACTGAAATGGGAAACAAGTCCCCAGAGATTGAACAACATCACAGTGATTGGCTATCACAATTTCCTAAATTAAATATCAGAGTCCAAGTGGCAAATACACCCTGACACATTTGCATATTATACACCTACATTATGGTACTTCTAGAACCATCTGTTGAAAGTCTTGTATGTTGCCAAGCATTCTTGCAGGACACACCATAAATAACTACAAGGAAACATTGGAAGGTTTCCCCTTCTGCCTACACAAGCAAGTGCTCAGACTCCCTGAGAAAAGCCCACTTACAGGAAACTATAGATGTTTGTGGGCACAGGGTGTGTTCAACATTGGCCTTCAACTTTTTTCCAGTTGAAGGATGTCAAGATTCCTTGATGTTTCACAGAAGAAAGAATTCTTTCCTTCCACCATCTAAGAAAAATCTCTTCAGTATCATTTGGCAAATTAAGAAACTTAGAGTCTCACGGGCCAACTTCAGTTCCCAACAGGACTGGCTTGGACTGATGTGATGTTTGGCTTTGGAGCTAAATATTTGTTTATCATCCCTAAAGACATTGTGAGGAAAGTGCCTGAAAAAAAATGTGATTTATTAGGAGGTAACAATAGAGGGTACCTTGTTGGTGGAAATTGATTTATTATGTAATTGGAAGAGTTCAGTGACCTTTTCAAATATTTGCCTTTTGATCCTAAAACTTTAGTTTTTGCTGCTACCAGAGAGGTAGTCTTATACTTTAGAATATTGTTTTTAAACAGCTTTCTTTTAAAATATGATGATATATTTTGGACAGAATATAAAAAGAAAAAAACATTTATTTTTTAAATGAATGATGAAATGAATGAAGAACAGAATGTCATGCTAAAAATTCACTCAGTGTGCTGTTTTATCTTTGTGTGTTGTACAAGGACAATGGAAGCATGGCAACCAACATTTTGGAAAGTTATAAAATGATAATCAAAAAGGACACAATCTGGTATTTATTAACTGTATTTAAGAGGTATGACCAGGTAAATAAATGTTGACTTGTTGAATACCAAAGTAATGTGTTCTTAGCTTTTTCCTTCATGCATTGTCTTGAAATAAATAATCTCCTAGTTCAATCTTTTTTGGTTTAATGAAATAGTGCCTTTTATACGTCTGTCAAGAGTTAGAGCATTCAGGATCACATACAGTCATAGAATGCATTCAGTTCCTTCCTTTAGCCTATCTTTCTACTTCATCCAGTTATTAAGACTTAATTGTGCCTTACAGTTTTAAATTTTGATGCTTGTTGGTGCTTTATCTGGGAATAAGATATATCTCAAGGGAGTAGTTTCTTACAACCACAAGTATTCATAGGAAAGATAATTGGATAAGTTCAATCATTGGAATTTGATTGAATGAGGACTTTGGTTTAGGAACCTAGGAAAAACCACAGAGATTCAAATCAATCTCTCTTCCTCGAAGTATAGAAAAGTTTCTTCATGAAAGACCATCATTTTCTGTTTAATTGGTGAATACACTAGTTTTTAAATTGACATATTTATAACTAAATATTGACCTAGAAATATGAGTCAAATTTAATTCAAAATTGGTCATTGACTTCACACTTTTATATAATTTACTTACAGTGAACATTAAATGGGTGATTACAACATCAAGACTTTTTTTCAACTCCAAATTATTTCATTTTTCTTTAACATAAAATGTTCTGTATCAATGTGATTTTTGTCCAGTTGATGGTTTTGCTACATTCACTGGACCTATTCTTTGGACCCACATAAACTTGTAAAATAATTAACGTGGAGCATCATAATATTTTCTTTAAAAATTATAATTGAAATCTCCTAAGAAGCAGTACAGTTTTGCAGTCAGTCAATATTGCTTGCAAAATTTAAAAGTTGAGGTACAAGCTCTACTTGCTGCAGATCAGATCATTAGAAAATATTGTGTTATTTCTCTTCCTGAAAAGTTCAGACAGAAACGCCTTCTTTGCTTTCTTAAGAGGACCTACTTGTTAAGATACACATCTGTGCACTGTTTCTTAGATGGTGTGTACCACAGAGTTCATGCCCACAGTCCTTTGAAGATGTGGGTCCTGCAGAATGTGACAGGGTAGTACACTGCTTCTGTTAACATCCACTCACAGTGCAGTACTGTTGATAGACATGGCATTTGTTAATTAAATTAAAATGTGAAAGTTTCTGCCTTTTTAATAGACACAAGTATTTTCCCAATTTTGAAGGCCATTGTACTTCAATTCATGATAGGCAAATAATAATAACATTAAATGCTCAAAATTACTTTATACCTCCTAATTGTAATGACAGTTATACATTGAATTAAATCTTTTTTAAAATCTGTTTTTATTAAATTTTTATGTATTTCATACAGAACATCTCAAGCAACCATCTTTCTATCCCCATCCCCACCAGCACCCTCTCATAGCCTCCCCACTGGAACCCATATGCTCTATCATCCGTGTTAAGGCCTACTGTGTCAAGTCAGTGTCCCCAGTCATTCCCAAGTGCAAGTTCATCCACTGAGGTCTAGTCAGCCTATCTAGAGTCACTTGTTTTAGGACATCAGCTCTTCCTCACCTTGCAGTAATCAGTTGCCAATATTTCTTTAGCTAAGATTGGAGTTTGCCGTTCATTTCCCCAGTTATATGCTGGGTTTTAGTCTTCCTGAGTTTGCATGGGACTTTTATATACTGCCACCATTGTCATATATCATATCCTTTTCAAAATTATGATTAATCTAAGTATAAAAAGTCCTCACAAAGATACAAAAATATATAAAATGAGACACTTTCCCATCTCCCAATTTCCTATCATGTTCATAGATTTCCCTATTAATTTAATAATATTCTGAGAAGAAATGAATCTCTTAGAAGAGATGGTTTAATTAACCTAAAAAATCTTATGTTTGAGCTATAACTGCATTTCTACTGTTTAATGAATAAAGTAAGAAAATTAATTATTTTATGGATTTCTGTGGATAAACCAATATTTGCTTTCAGCATGACCAGGTCATCACCTATACCGAGTCTATAACTATTTAGAAACTTTTATCCATAGAGTTCAATTACAGCTCTCTTGTCTTGGTGTTCCATGAAAAACACTGAATAATTATACATATAATTGCATGTGAAATTGTGTAATCAAGTCAACAAACCAATCAATGCCTGAAATTCCTTCAATTATCTATATATCTATATCTATATCTATATCTATATCTATATCTATATATATATATAGCCATGCAACAGTGTCTCATAATTATCCTAGAACTTCAGTTTCTCCTAATTCTTTTTTGGTCACATATTTTCCTGAAATGTACAGTTAAAACTGGAGCAAAAGATTGCACTGCAATTGACTTCATTAAACTACTGATGATTTCTAAGTGAGGAAATGAATTATGAGCAAAAAGTTCTTGAAAGAACTGTATGATGTAATTAAGTAAAATGCATGTGATATGGTAATTACCAGACGGTATCATAAAATCACATGACATTCTCTGGGTCAATGTGTTGCTATGACACTGCTGCAATTAAGTTTTTAGAGTAAATATTTCAAGATTGAGAATCACTCAACTTGCATGATTCTAGAATCATGGGAGACATGATACTAACATTAGATGCATGGCAATGTTGAACATAAAGATGTGGTTAGCTTTATCTTGGGGAAACAGTGATTAGGTAGGGTGCCATTTCATTTAGAGCACTTCAATTTCTCTTTCCTGTCTTGGGGGGATTTTGGGGGGTATTTTTGTGCTAACATGACCCCTTACGCCTTTTCAAATCAAACATCATCATTTAATTGTGTTCTCCACAGCCCTGAACTTGGCACATCTTTTCTTTATTCTGAGCAGTTACTTTGATGCTTGAAAAGGATTACCTAATGTTGTTTTGACATTCTTAATGTGTTTGATCTTCACAGAATGTTAAAGGGATTTCAGACAATTTAGCCACCATCTAAATGGAATGCAGGTTGCTGAGTAATTCAAGCCTCATTTTCTCATGAATTATACCAGAAGCTTCATGTCTCAGTTTTTTCTCCAAATTCAAACTCTATTGTTTTGGGTCTTTTTCCTAAGAAGTTCTGATTTCCTAGTCATGCTGTTGACCCTGTATGTGTCATTGCGTTCACTGGCATTTCCTTTGTGAATTTCATTATTTAACATTGACCCCCTAAAGCTAAAATAACAGTGGGCTAACTATGGAACCTTTAAGGAACTAGCATCATAGGACCCTCTCTAAGGATCTAATGAGAGAGTACTTCCATTCTTTTATCAGACAATAGATAGAATTTCCCACAATTTGATAACTTTTCATAAACATCAAGGGATTTTTAAAAACTTTTAAAAACATTTTATTATTTTTATTCTATGTGTATGAGTGTATTGCCTGCATGTAGATATGTGCACCCATGTAGTGCAATGCCCGCGGAGTTCAGAAGAGGCTCTCGGATCCCCTAGGACTGGAGTTACAGACAGTTGTTAGCTGCCATGTGGGTGCTAGGATTTGTACCTGGGTCTTCTGCAAGAACAACC